GTTCCACCATGTTGATCAGGCTGGTCTTGATTTCCTGACTTCAAGTGATCCACCTGCTTTGGCCTCCTGAAGTGCTGGGATTACAGGTATGAGCCACTGCACCCGGCCCTATTTTTAATTTTTAGGGGAAGATCCATATGTTTTCCATAACAGCTATACTAATTTACATTCTCATCCACAGTGTGCAACAATTCCTTTCTTGCCACATCCTCTAAACACTTGCTATCTCGTCTTTTTGATAATAGGCATTCTCACAGGTGTGAAGCAATATCTCATTGTGGTTTTGATTTGCATTTTTTTGATGATTAGTAATGCTGAACATTTTTGCATATGCCTGTTGGCCACGCATAAGTATTTTTTGAGAAATGTCTTTTCAGGACTTCTTTCTCAGTCTTTTTTCTTTTGATAGGTGAGTTTAGCCTATTTACATTTATTGATATGACTAATGTAGTTGGCCTTATTCTGTTATTTAAAAATATACGATTACATAGGTTTAAAAAAATTTCACCTCATGATTTTTTGTGAAATATTTATCTTTCCTTGATGGTGTTTTAAAAAATGTATTTCTTATGATATTTGGAAAAGTTTGTCTATTCTATTGGTAATCTTTATAACTTTACTCAATGAAATATACCTTCTTTCTTTTGACAATAGTAAGAAATGATAAAATGAGTGTACATTGTCTTCCTCTCTGCTCCTCTGCCTCTCTTTGACCATATAATATTGGTTCATTACATGCTTTTTATTCGTGTTCACCTTGGGAATACCACTGTCTGCCTGATCTATGGATTTGTCAGTTGTTGTTGTTTTTCCAGAGACAGGCCTCCTTCTGTTGCCCAGGCTGGAGTGCAGTGGCACAATCAGCTCATTCCGGCCTTGATCTCTCAGGCTCACCCTATCCTCCCACTTCAGCCTCCCGAATAGCTGGGACTGTCTACAGGTAGACACTACCATGCTCAGTTAATTTTTTGAAATGTGTTTTAACATAGAGAGGGTCTCACTATGTTGCCCAGGCTGGTCTCAAACTCCTGAGTTCAAAGGATCCTCCTGCCTCTGCCTCCCAAAATGTTGGGATTCTAGGCGTGAGCCACTATGCTTGGCCAAAGATTTGTCAGCTTTAAATGATATCCTTTGACTTTTAGCTATTTCCCTTTACAGTTCTATTGTTTTCACTTTATGTATTTTGGAACTATTTACTTATTTAGGATTATTGTATCTTTTTGCTTAATTGATCTTTTTATTATTATATGATATCCCTCTTTATCCCTGGTCATAGTCCTTGTTTGAAGTCTTTTTCCCCAATATTACCATAGTCCTTCTGGCTTTTTAAAAAAAGTTAGTGTTGTTTGTTGTCTTTGTTTTACAGTGTATAATGTTTCTATTTTCTCTGATTGCCTTAAGATACTTTTATTTATCTTTGATTTTCAGCAGTTTGACTATAATTTATCTAGTTTTTCTTGAATTCTGCATGGATTTTTCTGAGGTTCTTAGATTTCTGGTTTGTTGTATTATGTTAACTTAAGAAAATTCTTGGTTTTATTTCTCCAGCTATGTTTTCTGTCTTGTTCTTCCTTTATTCTTTTTCTGTGACTCCATTTACACATTTGTTAGACAATTATATTATCCTGAAGCTTTTGAATTTTCTGTTTTGCCTTTATTTTTGTCTCTTTTATCTTTTTGTTTCAATTTGAAAGCTTTCTATCACCTATATTCAAGGTCACTGACTCTTTCTTTAGCTCTGTTCAGGCTGCTGCTAAGGTTGTTGAAATGTTTTTCTGTTTCTCTTTTGTAGTCTTCATCTTTTTGCTAATATTTCCCTTATGTTCATGCATATTATTGATCTTTCCACTATATTATTTAACTTATTAATCTTAAGTATTTTAATGTCTCTGTTTGGAAGTTGTAAAATTTGAGTTATTGCTGGTTCTGGTTCTATTGATTGCTTTATAATTTGACAATGAACTTATCTTTCCTTACCGTTTTGGGGATGGGACTGTCTCGGCCTTGCTGTTCCCCCTTTCCCAGAAGTCAAACTCTCATACCAGCATTTCCTGACATGATCTAAGTGGGCACTACCCACTGCTTTGATCAGTGCAAGAACCTGGGCTGGAGAGGTTATTTTTGCCGGTACCCTGGGGCAGAATGCTCTAGTTTCTATTCCTCCTGTGGAAAGCAACGGATCTTTGCTTGGTCCCTGGGTGCAGGAAGGTTTTCTGTCCCACTCCCAAAGGCTTAATGCTTTTTGTTCCCTGAGAAGGATGAGGTTAGAGAAGAAGGTGGAGTTTTGTCTCTGTGTGCTACCAATGAGGGCTCTGTCTGGTTTCTTTAACTACTCCTAGCTTTTCCCGTTAGTTGGTGGAGACCAGTGAAAAAGAGCCTGTTAAAGATAGGTAACTTCTCCTACATATAGGGTTACTAGTTCTTCTCAAGTGCTATACTAGCCCACACTTAACCTTACAAGTTTATTAAAGTTTCAGCAGTTTTCTTTGTACCTGCTTTCATGCTAGCCAACTCTTCATCCTGTGCTCTGCAAAAGGTGAAATAGTATGTATGTCCCACATCTTGTTGCCTCTTGGAATTCCTTTTATTTGGCTCCCTTATCACTGTAGCCTACTGATGGGCTCCAGAAAATTATGACGTTGTGGATTGTAAAGAAAGCTCTTTCTTATTGGTAGAGAGGAAGTACTGTTGTCTTGTGGCTTTCTATATCCTAATCACAATATTCTAGGAATGGAATTGTAACATATGTAGTCTTCTGTGACTTTTTCTTGAGTAATTCATATGTTCTTGAAATTGAGTCATGTTGATTGAAGTACCGGTAGTTTGTTCATTTTCACTGCTCTGTGTGTGTGTGTGTGTGTGTGTGTGTGTGAGAGAGAGAGAGAGATCACTTTTTATTTTTTATTCTTTTCCATGTCTTTTAGAATTTTGCACTATTATGCATACCCATTGTCTTCTATGTTTTCATGCTTTTCATTTTGGCTCTTTTGGCTAATAAATAAACTCGCTTAATTTAATCTCAAAAGAACAATTTATTTCTTGAGTTTTAGTTCACCTTTGTCTATTGCCATATCTGTCCCCATGCTTACTTATTATTTATATTTCTTTCTTTTTGAATTTTATAACTTTTATTGTGGCATTTACAGCATAATTTCCTGGGTTGCAATCTGACTCTTTATTTTGTATGTATTTTTCCCCTAAATAGCATTAGAATGATGTTTGGCCAACAAATTTGTCAGATTTTCTAGTTCATACTATGCTAAATGAAAGTTCATGCAAGGTAAAGATAGTATGATTCGTTTTTTAAAAGGTGAATAATTATAAAGCAAAGCATTATTATTACTAGCATTAAAATCAGGCTAATTTTCATGATCAGGAATTCATATGAAATAAGTTGTTCTGGATAGCTAGAATATGAAAACTTTAGTAACAAAATTTCAAAAATCTGTTTTTTTAGTAATAAGTCAATCATTTTGATTTTTATCTGAAGTATATTGTATATTTTCCTGCCTTTTGAAAAACAAAGGCAAGGTTTACTATTGCCTGTAATAATACTGCTGACAGTTGCATCTGGTCTAAATGCACACTTTTTTTTTTTTTTTTTGAGATGGAGTCTCGCTCTGTCACCCAGGCTGGAGTGCAGTGGTGGGGTCTCGGCTTACTGCAACCACTGCCTCCCAGGTTCAAATGATTCTCCTGTCTCAGCCTCTGGAGCAGCTGGGACTACAGGTGCCTGCCACCACGCTCAGCTAATTTTTGAATTTTTAGTAGAGCCGTGGTTTCACCATATTGGCCAGGCTAGTTTCGAACTCCTGACCTTTGTGATCTGCCCACATCAGCCTCCTAAAGTGCTAGGATTACAGGCATGAGCCACTGTGCCCAGCCATGCACACATTTTAAATTGCTAATTATGTAAGCCTTGTTCAATTGTGCTTCATTACAAAGTTGGGATTTCTAAGCCTGTAATAGGTGCTAATATCTTCATTTGAACCAAAATTCAATTTTAACCGAGGATATTGAACTTAATTTGCCCTTTACTTTATGGCTTTAGCTTGTTTTTTTCAATGTAAAATACAGTATTGTATTGTCATATCAAAATGCCTACTGGACTTAGTAACTCTTCAGAATGTTTGCTTTTTTCCTAAGAGGTTGCAAATTAGTACAGTTTGAATTACTGTCTTTGCTTTTTAAAGCATTTCTCACTTATGCTTTTTTATCAAGTTGACAGTTGTTACTTCTGACTACAATCAATGCTTCTGACTCTAACTTTTCCTCTTCCTGTTACTTTGACATTTCTAGTTTGCCATGAGCTTAGAAATAAAACAACCAATTTGTGAGATTTCCTATACTACAAGAGACAGAGGGAGTTTTCGCATGATACTGCATATGCAGTTTGTTGATTGAACTTGTTAATAGTAATTTTAGTTGTTTCTTCCTTTTACTTTTTACCTGTATTCTAAATAGACAAATTTCCTGGATGGTTGAGTTCTGAATGGTAGAGTGATATTTATTACTATGAGAAAAGCTACCGTGTAAAATATTCCATGGAACATATTTTATCATGATTAGTTTTTTAAAAATAAATGCTAAATATCATGTTCTTATTATTCAGAATTTAAGAGTGAAATTAAAACGACTTAGTCTTTCTGTGCGAAATTAGTAGGTGAGTATATCAGCGGGAAAGGGGGAGATGTTATATAGATGCTGTGACATTCCCTCTGTCTTTCTTCTTCCTGGCTCCAGCACATATATATACACATTTTGCTTTTTTGTTTTTTTTTTGAGATGTTTTCTGTTGTTGAGAGTTTAGAGAAGTTAGTTTAGATAATGTAGATGTTTAACAGAAAAATCATATTAAAGCAGTTTGAGGAAAAGTGATATGATACTAAAAACCTTATCATTGAAAAAAAATACCCTAAAACAATCTTATACCTGAAACGAATTAGTTAAAAACAGAAAATTTAGTTGAGTTCTTTAAAAATAAAGATACAATTGCTTACAGCCAGTGTAGTCTTGGCATGTGTTGACAGAGAGGCTTGTCAGGTAAATGGGTGAGGACATTATTCATCAGGACTCTGAAAAAGGAAAAGACAAACAAGTAACATTTTTCTGGTTCTCTTTTCATCTTGGTTCAAACATGGTGTTATGATGATGATGATGATGAAACCACAAAAATCCACTAAATTAGTTGTCTTTCCTCTCTAATTGTTTTTCTTTGAGACGAAGTCTCACTCTGTCGCTCAGGCTGGAGTGCAGTGGCACAATCTTGGCTCACTGTAACCTCTGCCTTCCAATTTCAAGTGATTCTTCTGCCTCAGCCTCCCAAGTAGCTGGGATTACAGGCATGAACCACCACGCCTGGCTAACTTTTGTATTTTTAGTAGACACAGGGTTTCACCATGTTGGCTAGGCTAGTACTGAACTACTGACCTCAGATGATCTACCCACCTTGGCCTCCCAAAGGGCTGGGATTACAAGCATGAGCCACTGCACCCGGCCCACCTTGTTTTATTGTGTTTTGCTTTATTACACTTTGCAGATACTGCATTTGAGTCGGGATCTTGCCTTGTTTTCCAGGCTGAAGTGCAGTGGTGTGATCATGGGGCATTGCAGCCTCAAACTACTGGGCTCAGGTGATCCTCCTATTTCAGCCCCCTGAGCAGCTTGGACTGCAGGCATGCACCACCATGCTCTGCTAACTAAAAACAAATGTTGTTTTGGTAGTGATGGGATCTTGCTATATTGCCCAGGTTGGTTTCAAACTCCTGGCCTCAAGCTGTCCTCTCTCTTTGACCTCCCTAAGCTTGAGATTACAGACATGAGCCATCCTGCCCAGCCATAAAACTTCTTATCATTGTATTGTTTGTGGTGATCTGTGATCAATCATCTTTGAGGTTACTATTGCAGTTGTGGCATCACAAACCATGCCCATATGTTACAGCAGTCATTTTTTTTTTTTTTTTGAGATGGAGTTTCACTCTTGTTGCCCAGGCTGGAGTACAATGGCGCAATCTCAGCTCACAGCAACCTCTGCCTCCCAGGTTCAAGTGATTCTCCTGCTTCAGACTCCTGAGGCATGTGCCACTATGCCCAGGTAATTTTGTATTTTTAGTAGAGACAGGGTTTCATCATGTTGGTCAGGCTGGTGTTGAACTCTTGACCTCAGATGATTCTCCTGCCTCGGCCTCCCAAAGTGCTGGGATTATAGGCGTGAGCTACCGCACATGGCAAAGACAGCCATCTTAATCTATAAGTGTTGAGTCTGTTCTGATCACTCCACCAACCAGCAATTCCCCCTTCTCTCTCTCTTTCCTCAGGCCTTTTTATTCCCTGAAACACAACAGTATTGAAATTAAGCCAGTTAATAACCTTACAGTGGTCTCTAATTGTTCAAATGAAAGAAAGAGTCCCACAAGAATTATGGGCCCTCAAGAATTATGCTAAATCTACTCTGCCTGTGCTGTATAATGGAACAACAAAGCCTGGATGACAGCACATCTGTTTACAGCATTGTTCACTAAATATTTTAAGTCCACTCTTGAGAACTACCACTCAGAAAAAGAACATTTCCTTTCAAGATATACTGCTCATATACTTTCCTACCTTAAATCAAAAGCTAGAAATGACTAAGCATAGTAAGGAAGGCATTTTAAAATCTAAGTAAAAAACCAGGCCTCATGCATAAGTTAGCCAACTTGTGAATGCAATGGAAAATTCTTGAAGGAAATTAGAAGTGCTACTCCAGTGAACACACAAATGATAGGAAAGTGAGACAGCCTAAATGCTGATGGAAAAAGTTTAAGGGGTCTGGATAGAGGATCAAACCAGCCTCAACATTTCTTTAAGCCAAAGCCTAATCCAGAGCAAGACCTAACTCTACTTCATTCTATGAAGGCTGAGAGAGGTGGGGGAGCTGCAGAAAAAAAGTTTGAAGCTAGCAGATGTTGATTCATGAGGAAAGGAAAGAAGCTGTCTCTATAACACAAAATTGCAGGGTGAAGCAGGAAGTACTAATGGATAAGCTGCAGCAAGTTATCCAGAAGATCTAGCTAAGATCATTGATGAAGATAGTTCCACTAAACAACAGATTTTCAGTGTAGATGAAACAACCTTCTATTGAAAGAAGATACCTTACCAGATATTATAGCTAGAGAGGAGAAGTCAATGCCTGGCTTCAAACCTTCAAAGGACAAGCTGACTCTCTTACTAGGGTCAAAAGCAGCTGGTGACTTTAAGTGGAAGTTAATGCTCGTTTACCATGCCAAAAATCCTAGGGCCCTCAAGAATTATGCTAAACCTACTTGGCCTATGCTCTATTGGTGGAACAACAAAGCCTGGATGACAGCACGTCTGCTTACAGCATGGTTTACTAAATATTTTAAGCCCATTCTTGAGACCTACTGCTCAGAGAAAAAAAGACTTCCTTTCAAGATATATGGCTCATTGACAATGCACCTGGTCACCCAAGAAATCTGATGGAGATTTACAAAGAGATACATGTTGTTTTCATGCCTGCTAGCGCAGCATCGGTCTTGTAGCCCATGGATCAAAGACTAATCTTAACATTCAAGTCTTATTATTTAAAAAAATACATTTTGTAAGGCTATAGATGCCATAGATAGTGATTTCTCTGATGAATTTGGGCAAAGTCAATTACAAACCATCTAGAAAGTATTCATCATTCTAGATGCCATTAAGAACATTTGTGATTCATAGAAGCAAGATCAAAATATTCATATTAACAGGAGTTCCGAAGAAGTTGATTCCAACCCTCATGGATGACTTTGAAGGGTTCAAGACATCAGTGGAAGAAGTAACCGTAGAGGTGGTGGAAATAGTAAGAGAACTAGAATTAGAAATGGAGCCTGAAGATGTGACTGAATTGCTGCAATCTCATGTGAAAACTTGAATGGATGAGAAGCTGCTTCTTATGGATGAGTAAAGAAAGTGGCTTCTTGAGATGGAATTTACTCCTGGTAAAGATGCTGCGAAAACTGTTGAAATGACAACAAAGTATTTAGAATATTATATAACTTACTTGATAAAGCAATGGCAGGATATGAGAGTACTGACTTCAATTTTGGAAGAACTTCTCTTATAGGTAAAATGCTAGCAAATAGCATGCATACCATAGAGAAATCGATCATGAAATTAAGAGTCAATCAATACGGCAAACTTCATTGCTATCTTAAAGAAATTGCCACAGCCACCCCAGCCTTCAGCACTCACAACTCTGGTTAGTCAGCAGTCTTCAACATCAACATGAGACCCTCCTTCAGCAAAAAAATTACAACTCGCTGAAAACTCAGGTGATTGTTAGCACTTTTGAGCAAGAAAGTATTTTAAAATTATGGTGTACACATTTTTAGACATAACATTATTGTACACTTAATTAACTACAGTATAGTATAAATATAACTTTGTTATATGCACTGGGCAACCAAAAAAATGTGTGTGACTTGCTTTATTGTGACATTTGCTTTAAAACAGTGGTCTGGAACCAAACCCACAATATCCTTGAAGTCTACCTGTGTAGAATGGTAAGGAGGTGCTTAAGAACACTGTGATAAAATGTGAGAGTGAGAATATATTCAGTTTTTATGGGCTGAGATTCTAGAAGACAGAAAATCTCTTAAAATTGTTGTAACTATAAATAGCCTTATAGAATATGATGAAGTAAAGTTTTTTTTTTTTTAATGAAAAGGCTTTTTGGGCTTTTCACCATTCCAAATTTAATGGTATTAAATTTAAGCATTAATTTTTATTCATGTCTTTTCCTTTGATTGAAATATTTGCATTAGTTTAGTACTTACAAGAGAATAAGAGAATTTAGTCCATAAAATGTTGGTGGGGAAATTTGACTGAGGTGATTATCTTCAATTATCCTGCCAGCCAGAAGAAAAAAATTAATTCATTTATATATCTTTAGAACCTAAAATGCAGTGCTATAAAATGCTACATAAATTAAACATACAGCCATTCTAGTCTGTGGAGATCTTCAAAAACACCCGGCTTCAGGAAGGTTATTCTGTTATGACTGAGATACCTGGAAAAGGAGAAATGACTGCAATAAATTTGTATCTTTTTGATATCTTACAATAAGGAAAGTAAAAACAATAATCATTCATCTTAAAATTTTTTATATAGCATTCTCATCATGCCACTTCTCTGTCTTTGACTCTCTAAGAACTGTTATCATTACCTTATCACACCTAGTTTTAAATATCCTCATAATTAATCAATCTATTCATTCATCTATTCATGTATTCATTAACCTATTTTGAATACTTACTCCATGGCGCTGTGCTAAGCATGCCATCCCTTTCTTTAAGAGGCTTTGAGTCTGGAGAGGCCACAGCATGTGAACAGATAACTTTGTAATGTCAGGGAATGCAGAGGGAAGTGTCTAATGCATGGTTGCTCTGCCATTGCAGAGGAGAAAACACCCAGCTTTGCGAGGGATGGGGACAGCAGAGTGTGGAGGATTGAGGAGACAGGAGACAGCTTTACTAAACAGAGGCACAATGGAGAAGGGTCTTGGATGAAGACATGCAATTCACAAAGCAAAGAATGGGTAGGAGCTATTCTAGGCAGAGGAAAAAGCTTATGCAAAAGCAAGAGGTATGAGAGAGTGACAAGTTAAGAAATCACCAGGTAATCCAGCGGGAACTCACCATGAAGAGGAAATGAGGAGACACAGGAGATAAACCTAGGAGGCAGGCAGGGGCCTGTTCTGGACAAAAGGGTATTGCATGCCTTGCTGAAGAGTTTGACTCTGTCCCGCCCATCTTTACCTCCCACTCTTCTGCAAAGTGAAATAACTCTCTGTTCTATTGTGTTGATCTCTTCTTGCCCTGTTCACTCCTGTCTCAATCTCTTTAGTGTAGCAATTCGCTGCACTAAATCTGTTTTCAAACAGTTTGATATTAACAATTATCAGTGATCTTGAGCAACCAATGAATTCCTGTAAGCCTCAGCTTCCCCAACTCTAAAATGGGGATAATATCACTATCTACTTCCTATGGTTGTAATATTCAGCACATATTATGTTTTATAACAGTATCTCTGCTCAAGCCTCTGACTCCAATTTCTTCCCTCTTTCCTTATTCTTTCTGCTTATGATTCATATGCAAGTAAGAGTTCAAGTTTCACTTCCACTAATACATGATTCAAACTGATTTCTCTCTCTTCTTTACTCTTTAATATCATGAGTAAACATTCTGTAACATTTCTCTGTCTTCACTCTTTCATATCTTGAGTAAACATCCTGTAAAATTTCTCCTGCCAGAATCTGTTCTCCCTTGCCCGGTTTGACTTTTGCTTAGGGGTAGTGAGCAATGGCACCCCATGATAGAGCTCTTTCTTCCCCCCTTTGCAAACCTGAAGCCCAGGTGGGCACAGTAAGGGGTAAGAAATGACTTATAACCTCAGGGGGTTCTCTTATACAAAAACCCTCCTGGGAAGAGGCATTTGATCCACGATTGCTCCCTGTGCCCATCTTTTTAGCCCAGTCCTCTTTGTTTTTCAGAGCCATCCTTTACTGCTTTGGACCTAAGATAGTCACTCCTTTCAGTAAACTGTCAGAGCAGTTTTGGTTTCAGCAGCACAGGTTTGGAACTTAAGTACTTTAAAAAAACGGTTCTCTAATGTTGTATATATGTTGGCATTGTTTTCCCCATCTTAGATGATAAAGTTCTAGAGAATAGGAGTCCTGTCTCTCCCCAGTGGTAGCTCAGTGATCTACCCGAAATGCCAAGGTATAACTACTTAAAAAGAGCAAAGCCGAGAGCGGTGGCTCATGCCTATAATCCCAGCACTTTGGGAGGCCGAGGCGGGTGGATCATGAGGTCAAGAGATCAAGATCATCCTGGTCAACAAGGTGAAACACTGTCTCTACTAAAAATACAAAAAATTAGCTGGGCATGGTGGTGTGTGCCTGTAATACCAGCTACTGAGGAGGCTGAGTCAGGAGAATTGCCTGAACCCAGGAGGCGGAGGTTGTGGTGAGCCGAGATCGCACCATTGCACTCCAGCCTGGGTAACAAGAGCAAAACTCCGTCTCAAAAGATAAAAATAAGATTAAAAAAAATAAATAAAAAGAACAAGCCTGATTTATCTTTCTATGCCCTCATGGTGTCTACCTAAAATACTTGGACTCTTTGAGGGTTAATGAATAGTTATGGATCTAATGATTATTTAGATCCATAAACAGCAGATTTCTAATGATTATTTAACTAGAAATATGTGGTGTCTTTAATAGTCAACAATATTCCAATGCTATAGAAAAGCTATGAAAAGAGATGGAGAACACTTTAAAGTTCTTGCTCCAGTTCTGTACTGCCTTTCAAGAGCTTCCTCCATATCTAGTGAACGTTAAGCCAAACAGATGGTGTTTAGTAAATTTTGCAAAGACATATGGAAAGAAGACAGTCAGGAGCCTGATGAGAGTGACTTCAATATTGATGCTGGGTACTTGCTAAGACATAAAGAGCAGGGATGGGGCAGAAGGGAAGAGGGTGTGGCTAAAGTGATTCCTGTTAAGGCTTCGAGTCTCCTGCAGTCTTCTTCCATTTTGCTAGTGAATTATTAGGTGCTCTCCTTGACTGAATCCCAAAGTATGATACCACAGGCTAAAAATCTGATGGAATGGGTTTCTTGGGTTAGGATAGAGAACAGGATAAAGAAAACAAGGGGACATAAATGGAAATAAAGGGAGTTATTTATTTATGTGATTTTTGGTTATATTTCTTTTCAGTTACTTCTAGAATGCTGCATTGCAGAACTCAATAGAATGGAACTTTAAGAAAGCTTGTTATTTATTTTTTTAAAAGCACGATGAGATACCACTTCACACCCATTAGGATAGTTATTGTCAAAACAAACAAATGAGATGAGAAAACAAGTGTTGGTTGGGATTTGGAGAAACTGGAACTCCTGCACATCACTAGGTGGAGAGTAAAATGGTATAGCTGCTGTGGAAAACAGTATGGCAACCCTTTAAAAAAATCAAAATCAGACCAGGCACGGTAGCTCATTCCTGTAATCCTAGCACTGTGGGAGGCTGAGGTGGGTGGATCATGAGGTCAGGAGATCAAGACCATCCTGGCCAACATGGTGAAACCCCGTTGCTACTAAAATACAAAAAAAAAAATTAGCCTGGTGTGGTTGCACGTGGCTGTAGTCCCAGCTACTCAGGAGGCTGAGGCAGGAATCACTTGATCCCAAGAAGCAGAGGTTGTAGATTGTGCCACAGCACTCCAGCCTGGCAACAGAGTGAGACTTTGTCTCAAAGAAAGGAAAAAAAAATCAAAATCACATCAAATGGTAGTCTCTTAAAAATCAAAGAGTTACCATCTGACTCAGCAATTCCACTTCTGGGTATATACCCAGAAGAAATGAAAGTGAAAGTGGAGACTCAAACAGATATTTGTATTCCTGTGTTGATGGCAGCATTATTCACGACAGCCAACAGTTATTCACAACATTATTCACGACAGCCAAACAGTTAAACAAAACGTGGTCTATAAATACAATGGAACATTATTCAGCCCTAAAAAAAGAAATTCTGATACATGTTACAATATGAACATAAAGACATTGTGCTAAGTGACATAAGCCAGACACAAAAACCTAAATATTTTATGATTCTCCTTATATGAAGTACCTAGAGTAGTTAATCAATAAGTACAGGAAGTAGAATGATGATTGTCAGGGGTTTGAGAGAGGGGGAAACAGGGAGAGACAGATATGAAGAGTTACTATTTAACAAATATGAAGTTTCAGTTGGGGAGGATGAGAGTTTTGGAGGTGGATGCTGACGATGGTTGCATAATAGTGTGAATGTACTTAATGCCACTGAACTGTCTACTTAAAACTGATTAAATGGTGAATTTTATGTGATGTATATTTTACCACAAAAAGCTTTACTTCTTTAACCTTACAGCATTCATGCATTTTTAAAAGTGGGATTAGTGAAAAAATAATAATTAAATAACTAGGCAAATTTTTGCAAATATCTTCTTCTTCTTCACAAATATCATCATCAGTCTTTTTTTTTCCCCCCCTCAGAGACAGAGTCTTGGTCTATGGCTCATGCTGGATGCTGGCGTGCAGTCGGGCAATCCTAGCACATCACTGCCTCAAACTCTTGGGTTCAAGGGATCTTCGTGCCTTAGTCCCCCAAAGTGCTGCAACTGTAGGTACGAGCCACCCTGCCTGGCTGCATCAGGCTTTTACTTTGTCTAAATTCATTCAGTCATCACTCCTGTCACCATGGTGAATATACATTGAATTCTTAGTATGTGTCAGGCACAGTGTGCCTAATGCTTCCCATGGAGTTTCTTGTTTCTTACAACATCTCTGACGTAGGAACTATTATAATTTGTATTTATAGTAAAGGCAATTAATACTTAGAAAGAAATATAAATTGACTGGGCATGGTGGCTCACACTTGTAATCCCAGCACTTTGAGAGGCCAAGGCGGGTGGATCATGACGTTAGGAGTTCAAAACCAGCCTGGCCAAGATGGTGAAACCCCATCTCCACTAAAAATTAAAAAAAAAAAAATTAGCCGGGTGTGGTGGCGGGCACCTGTAATCCCAGCTGCTCAGGAGGCTGAGGCAGAGAATTACTTGCATCCAGGAGGTGGAGGTTGTGATGAGCTGAGATCACTCCACTGCACTCCAACCTGGATGACAGAGTGAGACTTCATCTCAAAAAAAAAAAAAAAAAAAAAAAAAAGAAAAAGGAATCTAAATTGCTCATTGCTCAAGGTCACACACCTAGCTAATAAGGCAATCCGGACTCGCACTGAAGCCTGTCTAACTCACAATCCCATGCTCTTAGCTGCAATGCTCTACTGCCCCTTCAGCACCATTTGCATGGCTCCTTGGCACTGTTGTGGATAGGGAGGCTGATCTGGATTGGAATAGTCTAGGCTATCAGACCACTGTGGAATGGGCAAATCAATTCACACTGGTACTTACAGTTTAGTAAGGCTGTTCAGTCCTCTGAAAGCATAGACGGAGATGGATGTAATCTTATTGTTTTGCAGGTACCTGTGAAAAGGATTATTAAAAAGAAAAAAAAATTAAGCAGAGTTTCAATTTTGCAAGACAAAAAGAATTCTGTGGATGGATGGATGATGGTGATGGTGATGGTAGTGTAACAATATAAATGTACTTAATGTCTCTGAATTTAGACTTAAAAATGTAGAAATAAAAAGATGCTACATTTTATGTTATATGTATTTGATGACAATTAAAAATTTCAAAAAACTGAAAAAGGTAAACATAAAATAATTTAGTGAAGCTGGATATCATGTCACTTCATGTTTCTATTAAATTTATGTGCAATTAGGCTGGTTTGTATCTAGAAATTCTAGTTATAAAGGTGAATGAATAATCGTCAAAGCTTACTATTTGAATTTTCTAGAAATAAAATGCTAACACATAGTAAAGCCCTCATGAATCAGAAGTGTAGAAGACTTTTTAAAACATTTCTTGCTATAATTCTTTAAACTTAAGTGCCTAACACAGTGCTAGCCAACCTAAAAGTGTACGATGTTTGTAATATCCCAAACCATATTCTATGCTAATCACAAATCTGTCAACCACCCACGTCAGTTGTGATCTCATTCATTGGATATCCAAGCCTTGTTCCAAAAACTGTTTGGGGGAAGTTTATAAGGATTAAAAGTGGCAAAAAAGAAAAACATATATAAAAACAATCAGGACTAGAAGACTATAAATTAGATTGACATGTCAAGACAAGAATGCAGGCTTACATAGTTAGGTAATACTGAAAATATGACCTTGAGTTAACTGGAGGTCAAAGGAAATGGGTACCAGAGTACACGCTATTGCATCTTTGCACCCACATGAAGTTTTCCACTTCTACATGTACTTGCCCCAGATTGTGGGAATGATAAAGTAAGAACTTCAAGGCTGCCTTCTTGTTCTGAGTGCAGGTCACCATTGCTCTTTAGAGTGTCGTGAAAGTTTACATGTAATTTGTTATAAATTTTAGGAGCAATAAGAAAGAAATCAATATGAGCAAACTTTCAGTTAATTAAAAATTTTGACTGAAAAAGTACCCTATTTCTTCAATATGCAAGAAAATCTAACTTTGATTGTGAAATGTTATTATAAAATTTATTATAGGCTGGGCAAAGTGGCTTATGCCCATAATCCCAGAGCTTTGGGAGGCCAAGGCAAGAGGATCATTTGAAATCAGGAGTTTGAGACCAGCCAGGCAAGGCAATATAGTGAGATCCTATCTCTTAAAAAAAAATAGCCAAGTGTGGTGGCACATGGCTGTAGTCCTAGCTACCTGGGAGTCTGAGGTGGGAGGATCACTTGAGCCTAGGAGTTTGAGGCTGCAGTGAACTGTAATAATACCACTGCACTCTAGCCTGAGTGACAGAGTGAGACCGTGTCTCTCAAAAAAAAAAAATTATTATGCACCTGAACCTGACAGGCTGTGGACCCAATCATGTAGTAAGTAATGAGTGGTTCTAATTTATCATGTATTTGTTTGTTTGTTTGTCTATAGTATTATAATGATCTACTAAGAAATAGACTGCATTGCCTGGAGGTCTAAAGGCATAGACCTTTAATAACCAATTAGAAATTTTCAAACAATTAGGCTATTTTGATCATTTTGTTATGCGGAACAAATTGGTCATTCAGAAATTAATTCATCCAAATTAATTTTAGTTTAATTAGAAAGAGTTAGTTAGAAAATGAGAATTAATTCAATGTCTATTGTGCAAAAATGCTAAGCCCGTACATTATATAAATCAAAATTTTGATATTTAGATTTGTAGTCTAGCTCCTATAAATCAAGTGATGCTACAGAAAAATTCTTCAGTTTCCAAAAATCAGAAAATAAAATAAGTCAGTATACTCTTGAAGTTTTGTGTCAGGCCTAATTGTGAAAATTTCTTCTCTTTTGACTGATAAATGCTCAGAATGAAATTTTGAAAAGTAATTTTCATTAGAATTTCTATTCTCAAATATGAAATAGATAAGTCTGCTTACTATCTGGGTCTGCAGAACATTTCATTGAATGTAGTGAGTTAATTTTTCTTCTGATTCCACTGTATTTCCACCTCTTATCTTTAAAAATATGCAGATATATATTCATTTATCAGGTTTCTCTATTATAAAACCAAAATAAGAACCAATATATATTGTTATAGAAATGAAACAAGGAATACTGAGATATTTTTTAGTTAGTGTGATTTAGGTACAGAATATCTAAACACAACAATTCACCATATGACAACATAAGTTAGTCACAAAGTTGACCTAAATAACAGGTAAACATCATGTGGACCAGTGTGGATTTTGAGAGTTCCAAAGGGAAGCTAGCATGTCAGATACCACTCAAGGCCAAAATAAACCCAACTCACAAGGCAGATGTGTAAATGGAATCAAATTTCCAAGACAACATACTCAGAGGTTTCCACTCACAGTGATTTGCTATTTTAGGTAGTCAATGAATTTGAAAACATATGGACAAAAGTTCTTCACTTTCTTAATGGTGGACCTGGTGAAAGATCATTTCATTTTTCTTTTTCTTTTTTTAAAATTTTTATTGCATTTTAGGTTTTGGGGTACATGTGCAGAACATGCAAGACAGTTGCATAGGTAGTACACACATGGCAGTGTGTTTTGCTTCCTTTCTCCCCTTCACACACATTCGGCATTTCTCCCCAGGCTATCCCTCCCCAGCTCCCCCCCTGCTGACCCTCCCCTTTTCCCCCAATAGACCCCAGTGTTTAGTACTCCCCTCCCTGTGTCCATGTGTTCTCATTTTTCATCACTCGCCTATGAGTGAGAATATGCAGTATTTCATTTTACGTTCTTGTGTCAGTTTGTTGAGAATGATGTTCCCCAGATTCATCCATGTCCCTACAAACGACATGAACTCATCATTTCTGATTGCTGCATAATATTCCATGGTGTATATGTGCCACATTTTCCCAATCCAGTCTATCATCGATGGGCATTTGGGTTGGTTCCAGGTCTTTGCTCTTGTAAACAATGCTGCAATGAACATTCGTGTGCATGTGTCCTTATAGTAGAACGATTTATAGTCCTTTGGATATATACCCAGTAATGGGATTGCTGGGTCAAATGGAATTTCTATTTCTAAGGCATTGAGGAATCGCCACACTGTCTTCCACAATGGTTGAACTAATTTACACTCCCACCAACAGTGTAAAAGTGTTCCTATTTCTCCACATCCTCTCCAGCATCTGTTGTCTCCAGATTTTTTAATGATCGCCATTCTAACTGGTGTGAGATGGTATCTCAATGTGGTTTTGATTTGCATCTCTCTAATGACCAGTGATGATGAGCATTTTTTCATGATTGTTGGCCTCATATATGTCTTCTTTTGTAAAGTGTCTGTTCATATCCTTTGCCCATTTTTGAATGGGCTTGTTTGTTTTTTTCCTGTAAATCTGTTTGAGTTCTTTGTAAATTCTGGATATCAGCCCTTTGTCAGATGGGTAAACTGCAAAAATGTTTTCCCATTCTGTTGGTTGCCGATTCACTCTAGTGACTGTTTCTTTTGCCGTTCAGAAGCTGTGGAGTTTGACTAGGTCCCATTTGTCTATTTTGGCTTTTGTTGCCAATGCTTTTGGTGTTTTGTTCATGAAGAAGTCCTTGCCTACTCCTATGTCCTGGATGGTTTTGCCTAGATTTTCTTCTAGGGTTTTTATGGTGCCAGGTCTTATGTTTAAGTCTTTAATCGATCTGGAGTTAATTTTAGTGTAAGGTGTCAGGAAGGGGTCCAGTTTCTGCTTTCTGCACATGGTTGCCAGTTTTCCCAACACCATTTATTAAACAGGAAATCCTTTCCCCATTGCTTGTTTTTGTCAGGTTTATCAAAGATTGTATGGTTGTAGATATGTTGTGTTGCCTCCGATGCCTCTGTTCTGTTCCATTGGTCTATATCTCTGTTTTGGTACCTCATTTTTCTTTTAAGGTGAGCATTGAGGAAGACCTGTTGGAGGTGGAGCAAGATGGCCACATAGGAACAGCTCTGGAGTGCAGTTCCCACAGGTTCTCTCTGCATTTCCAAATAAGGTACCAGGTGCATCTCAATGGGACTGGTGGCACAGTGGGTATATCCCAGGCAGGGTGAGTCAAGGCAGGGTAGGGTGCTGCCTCACCCAGGAATTACAATCCCTGGAGGACCCCCCTCCATACCCAATAGAGGCCATTGGGGGCTTTTCCATCCTCTCCATCACTCCGGTTCAGGTACTGCACCACTCCTGCAGTTTTTACCACTCACAGACCAGGAGGTTCCGGGCCAAAAAGCACCAAGAGTTTCCAGCATGGCTGTTATAACTGGTGCTGTGGGTTTCCACACAAAACCGCACACAAATCTGGGCAGCCATTTCAACTGGTGCCTGGAATGTCTGGGAGACAGAGCCACCCATTCTACTAAAAAAAAGAGGGAGCTTAAAACAGGGAGCCAGGTGATCTGGTTTGACAGGTCCAACACCCACAAAGACCAGCAATCTGAAACACTCTGACTTTTGCAGTAAGTGCAACTGGACGCAGGACGGTAGCGCTCTGTGCAGGGAAGGGTGTCTGCCATTACTGAGGCAGTTCTAACTGTGCCTCTGTAAACAAAACCTCAAGGAAGTTTACACAGCAGCAGGGCAGGGCTTGTGGCAGCTCAGCAACTCCTCTGCTGGCAGACTGTGACAAGATTACCTCCTTGCTGGGCAGGGCATCTCTGAAAAAAGGCAGCAGCACATCAGGAAATTATAAATAGGGCCCCACTTTCCGAGAACAGAGCATCTGGGAAAAGAGGTGGTTATGAGCTCCACTGCAGCAGACTTAAACTTACCTGCCCAGCAGCTCTAAATGGAACAACAGAGCTCCCAGCACAGCACCTGAGCTCTGATAAGGGACACACTGTCTCCTCAAGCAGCTCCCTGACCCCTGTATATCCAAAGAGGCATCTCATAAAGGAGAGCTCTATCTGACATCTGGTGGGTACCCTTCTCGGATGAAGATAACAGAAGAAACTGGCA